TTCTGAGATCGATCAACATAAACCTATGAAGTAGTTGCTAAAAATGTTAACTGGATGGAATTAAACCTCGTTTATCAGTTTATTTTTTTTTTAAAGATTCATTTATTTTTATACAAGAACCGGGGTACAGGCCAGATGCGCAGGAGGGTGAGAGGATTCACCAGAGACAGAGCGGGGAGCAGAACAGGCAGACTGATGAAATACACAGCTGAGGGGAGCAGCGTGCGAGACAGGAGAGGTCTGCCGCACCATGTGGGACCCTCACTGGCCAGCCGGGATCGAACCTGCGCTGCAGAGGCTGCGGACAGTTTCACAGTGCAGTGCTCAACCGCCTGCGCCACCAGGGAGGCCCTTGTTTATCAGTTTATAGGAAACACATGGGGCAGAACAACATGTAAAATATCACCTCAGGCAAACTGTGACGAAGAAGGGAGAATGGTTCAGAGACCAACCAAGTCGTCTGGGACCAGCATTCCGGCATCGCACATCCTGCAGCGCTGCCTCTGTGCCCTACAGAAAAGTTAAAGGAGACAAAGCCAAGGTGAAGGGCAAACAAGAGAGACCGCAAGGTTATCTGATCAACCTGTTCCTGCTCCACCAAAGCCAGATACCAAGCCTAAAAAGGCCCCTGTAAAGAAGGTACCTGAAGGGAAGGGTAAAGCTGAGGCTGGCAATGGGGATGACCTTACAGAAAATGGAGATCCTAAACAGACCAGAACGGAAAGCACAAGGTATTGGAGATGCCAAGTGAAGTGTGTACATTTTCAGTAACTGCATTGCTGGTGACTGTCCAGTTTGAAATACTGTTTCTGGTTAAAGTTTTATGAAAATGCAGATTTTTTTAAAGCTACATTGTTAGCACATAGAACACTTCATTGTGTTTTGGGCAAGGGGATAGGTCACTAACTGGTCTCTGAATCTGGATTGATGTGGGGGAAAACACCTTTCCTTTCTAGTTCTGAGAGACTTTCTCTTGGTTCCCAGTTAGAATTCCTTTATTTTGACACAAATGAGCCTTGGCAAAGACATCTTTTGGTGATGGAAAAACTAAAATTATTTTTTGAATCCTCTTCTCCCTTTCTGCCCTCAGCATAGACTTGATTCCTTTAAGCCCGGGGAGACCTGTTCAGTACCGACTTCAAAAGAGCAATTACCAGGCCTCCCTGGTGGCGCAAGGGGTTAAGCACTGCACTATGAAGCTATCCGCAGCCTCTGCAGCACAAGTTCGATCCCTGGCCGGCCAGGGAGCTACCCACATGGTGCAGCAGACCTCTCCTGTCTCGCCTGCTGCTCCCCTCAGCAGTGTATTTCAGTCAGCCTGTTCTGTTCCCTACTCTGTGTCTGGTGAATCCTCTCACCCCCCGCATCTCTGACCTGTACCCCAGTTCTTGTATGCATAAATAAATAAATCTTAAAAAAAAAAAGAGCAATTGCCAGTATGTCACTCTGGACTCATCAGTGTTGCTACTACCATGGCACACCTCAGAGGAGGAGTGCTTCCTTTTCTAGGCTGTGGACCTTTCGGGTAAGTTTGCCACTTTCATTTCATTTCTGGAGAGTCAGGGTTGGGCTTGTATAAGTTGTTAAGCAACATGCTAAATGTGGAATGTCAACTCTTACTCTAAACTTCCCCTGTTCGGAGCATGAAATGAAGCTTTCACTGGGTTTCAAGGTGGCTGATTTTGGCAGTCCATTGAAGAGGGGGGTTTGAAAGTTGTATATTGTAAACAATTGTCTGCCCATATCCTGCCTGAAATATCATGATTGTTTAGGGAAATTATCTTTAATAAAGCTGCATAGAGTTTAGGGGAAAAAATCACCCCAGCTAATCAAAGTCTGAATTTTGGGAAATGCTACAGGACAAAAGCCCTAGAAATATATCAAAAGAAATGAGTGTGTTAGAGGAACTTATAGATTGAAAAAAAAAAAAAGACTTAAGTGACCTATCAATTAAGTGCAAATTATAGAGCATATTTGAATCCTGACTCAATTTATTAAAAACGAATCAAGTAGGGAAATCTGATTGATTTTTTATAATATCAAGGAAATATTTGAAAATGCAATGACGTCACTATGTTTAAAAGGTTTCCAAAATCTTTTGAAATGTGCACTAACACATTTACAGCTAAAATGATACTGAGATTTACTTCAAAATAACAGGGGAATGTACTGGTGGTGCTGGTGTGGCGGGCTACTGATGACACTGGGTGACTGCTCAAGCAGGTTGACAGGTACGAGGGGTCCATTTGGAGACCACTGAGAATGCAGCTGCAATTTTCTTGGAGGGAGATGATGGCAGCTGCTGTAATGATGGCTGCAGGAATGAGTTTTCGTTCCGAACCCCTCCATGTCAAAGGTAAGTTCGGTTATTTTGTCGTCACTTTCTCTAGGCCAGAAGGCAGGCTATCCCCAGGGGCTGGTGAGGGGGACAGCCTGCCACATGGGCAGGACCTGCAGCTCCCCTGGGCCCAGAAGTTGGACATCAGTGAGGTGTGGGGGCTACATGGGGTTTCACAGATAAGAGGAGAGGACTCATTCCCAAGAAGCAGCCCTTCCTGTGGTCTTGTTTGAGTTACACTGCATGTTAGGAAAAGTGCCAGTTTGAAGCAATGTATTTCAGAAGATCTGCCTGTTCTGCTTCCCACTAACGTCTCTGGTGAATCCTCTCACCCGCTCCACCTCTGGCCTGTACCCTCTTGAATACCAGCCACTCCAGAAAGACCTCTCCTGTTGGACCTCTTCAGCTAGCCCTCTCAAACTCAACTCCTCCACATACTGCAGGCTCTGCTGGTTTAAGGCAGAGTTATAGACAGAATTATAGGCTGACAAAGGGCATCATTGCTCTTCCAGAGTTTTCTTGGCAGTACTGACCACCTTCCTGTTTACCATCCCTCTCTTCTGGCAATGTGCCTCTCTACTCTTTTCATGCTTTCGAGCCCTTTTTAATTCCTAACACTCCACATGGGCGCTGCTTTTAATTTGCCTGGTGTCTTACCCCACAGACATAAATCTCCATTCCATTGCTTAGAGTCAGCTACCTTTTTCTATAAAAGGTCAGACAGCAAATACATTTTTTTTAAAGTTTTTTTTTTAAGATTTATTTATTTATTTATACAAGCACTGGGTGCAGTCAGAAGCGTGGGAGGGTGAGAGAATTCACCAGAGCCAGAGTGGGGAACAGAACAGGCAGACTGACGAAATACACTGATGAGGGGAGCAGGAGGCATGGCAGGAGAGGTCTCTCGCGCCATGTGGGACCCTTGCCGGCGGCTGGGGATTGAACTGGCGCTGCAGAGGCTGTGGGCAGCTTCGCAGCACAGTGCTCAACTGCTGCGCCACCAGGGAAGGCCCCAGCAAATATATTTTTATGGTTCACATTTGCTGTCTAGCAGGAAAGCAGTCACTGACAACATTAAATATGTGGCTAAGTTCCAATGAAACTATTGGCATTGAACTTCACATCAGAAAACTTTCTTGCAACTATGTAAATCAAATATAGTATATTACACTCTAAAGTCTGATGCTCAGAACATAGTACTCTAGGAATAATTTTTAATGAATGTACAATGGAGTGAGATCATTACTTTTCAACCTCTGGGTATTGATCTTTCTTGGGATCATCTAAGATTCTACTTCAGGAGGGCCTCCCTGGTGGCCTAGGGGTTAAGTCTCAGCACTCTCACCTTATACGGCATGAGTTAGATCCCTGGCCAGGGAGCTGACCCACATTGCACAGCAGACCTCTCCTGTCCCACCCGCTGCTCCCCTCAGCAATGTATTTCAGTAGATCTGCCTGTTCTTCTCCCCACTATCTCTGGTGAATCCTCTCACCCCCTGCACCTCTGGCCTGTACCCCAGTTCTTCTATGCATAAATAAATCTTTAAAAAAAAAAAAGACAACTTTATATCAGGAAAAGACCACAACTTCATTTTACTTCCTGTATTGGTGTGAGATTTCCAGTCTTGTACTCTTGAAAAAAGTCTTGGGAGAGCCATATGCCAGGGCCCCTGAGCATCCCTGCTTCTTCCCGCTGGGCATGTCAAGAATGCAAGCTCTTTTCTGTTGTTTGCCTGGATCATTTCTCAGGGTTGTGATATAGTAAGCAAATACTGGGGCTGTTTCTCCCCAGGGTAGAGTCCTTGCTTCTCATTCACACTGAAAGTAATGGTTCCCTGAAGATTAGATTTGCTTTCCTATAATGCAGCCTAGTATTTTAGAATCCTTCTAAGCCCACCTGTATGTATCACCTCCTGTGACTTGTGGGGAACCAATGGCAGTGGCTATTGCTTTTGCAATGAGTAATAAAGTTCTTTGTCTATGATCCAGGAGTCCCGTATCATCTGCCAGTGTACATGAAATAGGCTAGTATATGTTTGTACGCAGGGTAGAAACCCAAACTCTTCTAGGCCTCCCTGGTGGCGCAAGGGGTTAAGATGCAACCTATGAAGCTGTCCGCAGCCACTGCAGCATGAGTTCGATCCTGCCGGCCATGGAGCAACCCACATGGCACAGCAGACCTCTCCTGGCTCGCCCGCTGCTCCCCTCAGCAGTGTACTTCAATATGCCTGTTCTGTTCCCCACTGTCTCTGGTGAATCCTCTCATCCCCCACATACCTCTGGCCTGTACCCCAGCTCTTGTATGCATAAATAAATCTTTAAAAAAACAAACCCAGGGCCTCCCCAGTGGCGCAGCGGTTGAGCGCTGGGTTGCGAAGCTGCCCGCAGCCTCTGTAGCACCGGTTCTATCCCCGGCTGCTCCCGGCCACCGGAGGAGGGTCCCACATGGCGCGCAGACCTCTCCTGCCGCCCGCTGCTCCCCTCAGCAGTGTACTTCGGTCCTTCTGCCTGCTGTACTCCCTGCTCTGGCTCTGGTGAATTCTCTCACCCTCCCGCGCTTCTGACTGTACCCACCCAGTACTTGTATAAAATAAAATAAATAAATCTTTAAAAACAACAAAAAAAAAAACCCAAACAAACCCTTCTGTCTGGATACACGTGTAATCTGAAGCTATAATTTTGATTGTGCAAACTCCTGCATGGATGCATTAATCAAACATTTATTGGGGGCCTACATACCATTATGTGCCAGGTGCTGTGCTTGATATAGGAGATGCAGAAATGAGTATGATGTCTTTTGTAGGAGCACATCCTCCAGCAGGAAATAGCCAGCCTTGATTCTTTTCACACCCCAATCCAGTTCATTAGCATATCCTTCAGACTTCAAAATACAACCTTTGTTGTATCACACCTCACCACCTCTACTGTGATCTCTATTTTTCCTCTGAATCACTGCAATAACTTCCTAACTGGTCCCCCTACTTCTGTCCTAGCTCTACTTTAGAGCACTACAATCTCTAGGGGAGTTGAAGATACATTGATATCCAGACCTCCCTCTCAAATGAAATGAGTATTTCTGGAGTCGGGGCCCTGGCACTGGTAATTTTAAGAGCTCCCCATGTCATTTCACTGTGTAGTGTAGAGTCAGGGCCACTGCTATTAACAGAAGATACTGAAGGATTTTGTGCAAATGGTGCCATGGCCCAATGCATGGCCACTTAGTCTGTCTGTATAGCTTCATAACCTGTATAGCTGTGTGGTGGTCTTAGTCAGCTACTTCAGGTGACTGGCAGTGCTGAAGATACACTGGAGGATGTGAGGTCAGGAATAGAGTGACCACTAACATGGCTACAAGTAATGTGAACAAGAGCCGATTAAAAGCCCAAAATGAGGTAGTGACAGTGGGAAAAGAATGAGCAGAGAGAATGAACTAGAATACCGGGGAGGTAAAACTAGTAGTGCTCAAATGACCATTGGTGAAGAATGAGAGTGGCCTCTAGCCTCCCTGTCAAAGCTATGGTGAACTAGAAAAGGTTACAGGGTGAAAACAATTCAGTTTTAGGTAACACCATTGTAAATACACACAAGGTAGTTTTAGATCATTGGTTCTGAAACTTCAGGAAGAGCTAGGTGAGAAGTCAAAGCTGAAGGTGGGGAGTGGTGGTGGTAAAGCTATACTCAAAGATCTGAAACTATATAGAAGGGAAAACAATAAAAAACTTTCAATGATCTAATCTCATCAAAATACATATTTTTATAAAACTGTAGGTACATACTGCTTGTGCTCTGATTTTTCATTTAACATTATTTTTCAGGAAGAACTCAACTAAGTGCTGGAGCCATGGGTTCCATCCTTATTTTGTCACTCTATGACTATGACCTCAAACAAGACACTTCAGTATCATGGGCATTATGTTCCCCATCCATGTGGAGGACTCAATGTTGTTTTACAAGCTTACACACATATTTATACACATCACTATAGTGCACATGCTTACACTATATGGCTAGTGTTCCAAGGGGCTTTTATAGTAAAATATAGAGCCACAAGGAGAGTAACAGAAATAGAGGACTAAAAGTACATTTACAGGTACATGCAAGTGAACTGGTACCAGAAGTTACAGTGAATGAAACTTAACAGCTTTACAGTTTTGAAGACCAAGTAGAACTTTTGCAAGAAAATTTTTAGATTTGCATGAAACATGTTCAGAATTAAAATTTAGAAGTTATCAAGAAACCAGCATCAGGAATGATGGGAAAGGAGCGTAATTAGCTTATACAGTAAATTATCAAGACTTGTAATAGTTAACATGCACATAGTAGGTATCATACATTTAGTTGCTCTCTTAACAGCTCTCTACTTAATCCTCTTACTAGATTAATTGACAAGCTCCCTTCCTCTAAAATTTACTGAAGATTCACATCTTGTGATGTTTTACTGCTTTCTAGGGCACATTAACTTCTCTCCAATTTAGTCGTTTGCTTCTAAAATAGTTTGTCCCAGCATGTGTAATTTCCCATTATATCAATATACAGATATCACATAAATGAGTGCAAAGAGTTGTCTTTATGAAAACCAAGTTGAATAGTTGGAAAGACTTAAAGGCTATTTGCTAATGACACCCTGGTAGCAATGAGCATGCCTAGTACCCAGAGCTTGGTTTCTAAGTAATTGTCTATTAAAGAGCTAGGGATTCCTGGAGAAATGGCTCATTCCATTTCTGGGGTATTGAAAGTGCAAGGTGAACCTGAGATATCATTTGTCGAAGACAATTAAGTGCCCAAAGACCAGAGAAGGAATGTCAAAGGACATGAACCACTTGAAAGGTTTCAACTGGTCAAATCTGGGGACAATTTGAGCATTAGAAAACAATTTAAACACATTGAATTATTTGCAATCACTACCCAGTTCTTACTCTGAAAATAGGCAATTAAAGGAAAAGAACTGAGCCCGTTTCATTTCCAGTTGATGAGGGAAAGCTCTTCCTTAAAAGAATGGCTGTTTATCAGTTTCGAAAAGTAGAATTAGAAAGTCTTAATTTTGCAAATCTTGATGAAATGATTCAGGGAAGGATCATTATTGAAACCTTCAGTGACTGTTGAATATCCATACGCTGTCAAAGATTAGACCACAGATTATATTATCCATAACAGAAAAAAAATCTTTACAGTGGGAAGATATGGTGGTTACCACTTCAATCAAGAGATCAAACTTTACATCACTTATGGGTCTATCAGATTATCAATGAGAATTTAGATATGATGTAATAGGAAAAACATCTGTGAGGTGTTAATGTTAAAAGATGTTTAACCTGAATCCAATCAAGACTTTGGTGCTAACTGCCAATTTATATAAACCACAGGAGATACAGGAACAACATAAACCACATACAGAGAGTTAAATCCTGGGTATAAGACAACCTACAATTGATCTATTAAAAGAAATATCCTGGAAAAAAGTCAAAGATGGGAGACTGTTCCAGAGATGAAACAGATGTAACAATCTAATGAGATGTGATTTAACTGGATAAACAGGAAAATTTAAACATGGACTAAGGTTTAGAAATTACTGTTCATTTTTTGAGTAATGGGGTTATGTAAAATATTGGGGTTATGTAAAAGACTGTCTTTTTTGGTGATGCATGCTTCAATATTTGTGGATGATATGTCAAGTAAGTTACTTTTCAATTTTTCTGTAAAATTACACAGCAAAATGTTAACTTTTAAATCAAGGTGATATACAGTTGATTTTCTGCCAATTACCTTGAATCAGACAACTGTAAAAGCGGGGGGGGCGAAATAAACAAAGATCTAGGATTCTCCACTATTTTTCTATTATTTTATAAGGGCATTAGCTGCCTCGGTCTATTAGTGGAAGACTTTATAAATGCATTATTTACATAAAACACACAAAGGCAGGAAATACAAATAAACGCAAAGAAAGGCCTATGGACTCTACAACACACATTCATTATAAGAGAAAAATGTGTAAGGTAGGAAGTGGCATAAAAATTGCATCTTAAATACAATGTTTTTTTTTTTTTAAACATAACTATGGCATAAGCATAATCTGGGTATTATGCAATTTGGAGATGATATGCACTTTGTGAGGGATGACTCCATGACATCAAGGCTAGTTAATGTGGGAAAGCAACAACTTCTGGACGAAAACACTCAAATTAAACCTTGAACATGCTAGCAACCCAAGCCTTTCCTTCTACACCAGTTTGGAGATGTTTTTATAAATAGTAATGTCCAAATGAAATTGCATGGTCATTATAGGTTTAAATTGTTATTTATGGCACTACAATCCCCATTTTTTCCTTTATCTTGTTCAGGAAAACTTCCTGTACAAAGATACCTCATGATTCCTTTAGGAATGTTTTCATTTTTAAGAACTGGGAATTCTGATTCATTTTCAAGTTGTTTCTATTACCCAGTAAATGACCAGTATTAAATATTTCTTTGCATGTATGCACAAAAAATATTTGAAATTCTTTCAACTTTACTCATTATCAGTTAATTCTACCTTATTACTCAATTCTACTTAATTCAACCAATAGATATAGCTCACCTACTATATGCAAGGCACCAAAGAAACAAGAGTGAGATAAAATCTCAGCTCTCAGAATATGACCTTATATTCTGATAATGGGACACTATGGATATTAACACTTTTTCCCATGAATTCTATTTGCATTTCTGCCAGTGCTCCTTTTATGTTGTTCAGGACCCACAAATTCAATTATTTTATTGTTTAATGATTTAGCACATCAATGAGTTTCTGAATCAGTATTTTTCCCAATGAAATTTTTTCAATTTTTTCCTGATATTCTAAGAATCGCTACCTTATTATATGAAAGAATACTAATTCCAATTAGCACTTTAAAATGTTTTCATGAACAGGCTGAATTTTTTAAATTAGTCACTCTTACTTTGTTACTTTTTTAATTAGTCACTCAGTAACATTTCATGTTACAACAGTTAACTATGTATTCTTTTCTCCACTATTGTCTTTACCTTGATTTTATATCCTTGACCTACTTTCTATTAATCTGTATCACATTATTTATAAAGCTGGTCTCATTACTTGTCTTGGGATATGGGGTTGCATTTGGCTACCCATTTTAGGTTTCTTATGCTTATTCCGTGAGTTAAAATCATGTCTTTTGTAATCTTTCCTCATGCTTTTTGTTGCTTACATCACTGTTGATAATCAGCACTCTAATAAGTCTTGAAAGTCCCCAATTAGGAACTTGGGCTCTCAGCACAGTAGGCACTCAAGAAGTAGTGTTTCAATGGAAGAAATGGACTTTTTATAGCAAAATAGTCATAGGAAACCTTAAGTTATGAAATTAAGTAGTCAGGTAAAAAAATGGAAACTGTACTATATATTTATCTTCCTTCAGAATGACCTCAGATGTCAGAAACTAGTGAAACTTAGGCCAGTATGTTTTAAATGTTAATTTAAGCTGGAGGGTTTTATTTTTGTAGTTAATGAAATGTATATACTTGTCTAAGGGCTAAATATACAACACTAGTTATTTATCTTAACAGATTATTTTCCATTAAGTTTCTCTTCCTTTAACATTTCACTATTTAAAAGAACATGTAAATTAAATAGTGGTCACACAGAAACCATTAAGGTAATTTCAACGTTTGTTCTTTTTGAAAATCTGCTGGCTCCCCGTGATAGTATGGCATTAATGGAAAAAAGAAGCTAAAAAGGGAAGGGAAACCTCTACATACTTAAGGCTTCAAAGATGGGAAGAAATAAAGACGTAAATGCAGTCTTATTTCAATAATCCCAGGGTAGCTCTCTATTGTGAAATCTCTACTTGATCGAAGTTTTCCCAAGTTAGTCATAAGGCCTCATTAAGAAGTATTTGAAATAACAGTAAGAGTTGATGAGTTACAAGCTTTTGAGTACTCTTACTTTCATAGGGTTTCTTGAATGAATTAAACTGATATCAAGTAAAGGTTAAGTGAATTAACTTTCCTTAAAGTTTACATTAAGTTTAAATAGGTTATGTCCACATTTCTAATTCTGATACTTCCGCTGAGTAATATCTAACACATATTGCACTTATTTTGGATTTCTTTGAATTTTTTAACAGAGTACAAAATAAAATGTAAATTACTGTTATAAAATTGAAATGAAGTCTCCCATATTGGTTAATTACGATTTTTGGCACCTGTATGAACACGCTGATGCTGAATAAGGTTTGTACTCTGGGTGAAGGTTTTACCACAAATACGGCATGCATAGGGCTTCTCTCCTGTGTGAATTCTCTGGTGTTGAATAAGGCATGTTCTCTGGCTAAAATCTTTATCACATTCATTACATTTATAGGGTCTTTCTCCAGTATGAGTTCTCTGATGTTGATTAAGTGATGAAGAATAAATAAAAGCTTTGCCACATTCATTACATTTATAGGGTTTCTCTCCAGTATGAATCCTTTGATGTTGAGTAAGATTTGCACCCTGTCTATATGCTTTCCCACATATATTACACTTAAAGGGCTTTTCTCCATTATGAATCCTCTGATGCTGAGTAAGGTGTACACTCTGGCTGAATGCTTTCCCACACACACTGCATTTATATGGTTTCTCTCCAGTATGTGTTCTATGATGTTGAGTAAGGTTTGCACTCTGGCTGAAGGCCTTCCCACATATATTACATATATAAGATTTCTCTCCAGTGTGAGTCGTCTGATGTTGAATAAGAGTTGAGGAATGAGCAAAGGCTTTTCCACATTCATTACACTTATAACACTTCTCTCCAGAATGAATTCTCTGATGTCGGATAAGGTAAGTACTCTGACTAAACACTTTCCAGCACTCATTGCATTTATATGGTTTCTTTCCAGTATGTATTTTTTGATGTTGAAGAAGGTGTGTACTCTGACTGAAGGTTTTCCCACATTCATTGCATATGTAAGGTTTCTCTCCAGTATGAACTCTCTGGTGATTAATCAGTGATGAACTGTGGCTAAAGGTTTTGCCACATTCCAAGCATCTATATGGTTTTTCTCCAGTATGTGTTCTTTGATGTATAGTAAGGTGTGCACGTTGACTAAAATCTTTCCCACAGTCATCACATTTATAGGGTTTCTCTCCTGTATGAATTCTCTGATGTATAGTAAGGTGTGCACGCTGGCTGAAGGCTTTACCACACTGGTGACATTCATAAGGTTTTTCTCCAGTATGCATTCTCTGATGTGCAATAAGGGATGAGATGTGCCTAAATTCTTTCCCACATTCTTCACACTCATAAGACTTCTCTTTGGCATGGGTACTTTGGTGTTTCACATAGGATGGGTTTTTCCTAAACTTCTTCCCACACACATTACATTTATAAGGCTTCTCTCCAGGCTGTATTTTCCTATGTACAATACCATAAGAGACATGATTGAAGGGTGTCCTGTCTTCATTATACATATATGTTTTATTATCTGATTGGGTACCAAATTGTATAAGTAGGTCTGAATGCTTTTCAAAATTACTTCTATAAATATCATATTTACTAAGACATTCTTCTGTTGGATCATCTTCTTGTGAAAAGTCTGACTTCAAACTCAAATCTCTTTCATTCAAGGGAATTTTCCCAAACGGATCTGTTGCTTGCGTTTCTAGTCTATTATCGTAGTCATATGGTTCTTCTAATTTGATGGTCTGGGTTCCAGTCTTTATGAATTTAGAAGTATTCTCTACTGGAGTACACTCTTGGGCTTTGGTTTCCCATTCTGAAACAGAAAGAATACTGAGTTTTCTTCTATTTGGAGAAAGGAAACTTAAAATAGAGACAAATAGTGAACACGAGTGCCTAAAAGGACTATGGCTATGACATCCTTATAACATGGTCCATAAAGATTGGGAAGGAAAAATAAATGGGTAGAAAAAATAGGAGACTACATTGGTGAAAAGGGGGAGGTCCTCACTATTGAATATGGGCACACAGTAAATAAAAAGGCTAGGTCATATGATAGAGCTGAAAGTAGTAAAAACAGTGGATAAGACTGTGCAGGATAACTTGAATGACTTCAGGGATTGATTTATATAATGGGTTCATAAAGTAGGTATGCTAACTCATGACTCCTTCCAATCTACTCTGTACAGCCCTATACAATATTCCTAAAGCAATTTCTTGGAGTGCTTTCCAGGCTTAAATATCTCTAGTAAATCTCATAGAGCCTAAAGCAATGGTTCTCAAAGCACTGTCTCCCCAGATTCATGGCATCATCATCATTATCATGTGGGAATGTGGTAAATAATTGGGCCTCATACAGATGTATTTAATCAGAAACTTTGAGGGTGAGGGCTAAGCAATCTGTTTTTTTTTTTTTTAAGATTTATTTATTTATTCATTTATTCATTCATTTATACAAGCACTGGGTACAGTCAGAAGCGCGGGAGGGTGAGAGAATTCACCAGAGCCAGAGCGGGGAGCAGAGCAGGCAGAAGGACCGAAGTACACTGCTGAGGGGAGCAGCGGGCGGCAGGAGAGGTCTGCACGCCATGTGGGGGACCCTCCTCCGGTGGCCGGGGATCGAACCGGCGCTAAAGAGGCTGCGGGCGGCTTCGCAACCCAGCGCTCAACAGCTGCACCACCGGGGAGGCCCTAAGCAATCTGTTTTAGTAAGCCTTCCAGGTAGCTTTGCTGTACATCAAAGTTTGAATGGCTTAAATGTGAAAATAAAATAGTTCTACTTGGTACTCCCAAAATAATCTAGCCTTTTCTATTCTCTACTCTATCTTCTACCATACCTAATATTGAGCATAATTAAAAGTTTAAAGTTATCCCTTTAGCTTAAATCTACTTCCTCAAATCTTTATAGCTGACATGCCAATTCTGGACTCTAGGCCTTCTCTTAAAGAGGTAACTCCTGTACCTATGGAAAAAGATGTTAATGACCCAGCTCATTAGTTTTTCTCTTTCCTTAGAATCCTAAATTACAGATTAGATTGCATCATACAAAACTGCCTTTTTTGGGTAAGTCTATATGACAATATGTCAGCAGTTTTATATGGTTCAACCTGTTTAAATGTTGAGACTGTGACAGAACTTGGTCTCACATTATTGCACAAATCTGTGTTTCTTTTATTTCCAATTTAGCTGCAAACTTTGCTCGTGTTTCTTTTATATTTTCTTCAGAAAGTGGTGCAAGATTCTGGGGGGAGTAATAATGTGAGCTGAAAGAATTGCTAGGTCCAATATAAAGAATTATTAGAAGTTGTGAGATAGGAAATGGTCATTGAAGACCTCTATTATTACTTTATTTGTGAGTTATCAAAGTTTTCAGTTTCTGAAGTTTGAGTTTATTAGATATTCTAACCAAAGCAGGAAGACAGGAAGTGAGCAAGAGTTGAAGCTGACTGCCTGGGATAGCTCCTCAATCCTGCTGCTGTCCTTAAGCTTCCACTTTGAAGGTGCAAGGGGCTCAGGGCCCAGGAAACAAAGTCCAACCAAGATGGGAAGCTGACAGGAATCCCATGGACAAAGGATCACACTTTGTAATATATCAACAACAGGGAATGGGTAGGAACAGGGTAGGAGGAATGGGAGTGTATACTTTCCTGTACAAGTTTGACTTCTGTACCGTGTTAATGTTTTTACATATTTGAAAATGTAAAATTAAGAACAAGAATAAAACTGAACACAAATAGAATCAAACAAATATAACTGTACATTAAACTTAACCAAAAGGAAAGAATTCAAATAACTTTTGAATCCAGTATCCTATATATCCTTAGAGGAAAATATTCAAAGGAAAAAGAAGAAATTTTTTATTTAGTTTCCACACAGGAGTGAAACCAATCAGTATCTATAAATAACCAAAAACCATACACAGGCACAATATAGTAGCAATAAATCTTGAACTCAGTGCAAAGACTATACTGGTTACCAGAAGGAACAGAGGGGAGGGAGGCAGATGTAGTAGTTCCATGGGTGTTTTGGGAGAGGTTGAGTGTAACATGCACAAAAAGAACAAAAATATAACCCTAAAAATTAAAAAAGAAATTTTAAACTTGCCCTAACAGTTATTGATGGAGATATTGATAATTCTAAAGCTATTTCTTGTATATATGATAGAGCAAACAAGTAAATACACTGATATTATTGGCATCAGGTTACTCATTGTGTGGGAAAGGAAATACAAAATGGAATACCCTTGAGGTATTGGATTTGAATTAGTTACTAAAGTATGAACTCATGATTAAAAAAAACCCCACACACATATGTACATTATGTATGTATATTCAAATTTATATTTTCTAGCTCTATCTATGACTGGATCTAACAGATAAAGATCTAGATCCCTGATAAAGGGACACTTACAGCCCAGTTCCCCATGAAATTAAACCATGGTTTCTTACAGAAATTCCAAGTCTAAGGTAGATATAAAGCGAACTGAAAATACACCTTGTACAAGGAAGGAAGGAAATGCTTAAAGACTAGCTGTACATCACAAAAGGACACTGGACTTGGTTTGAAAGGGTCTCATTGCCTAAATTTGGAAGAAATGAGCATCAAAAGTAAAACTGGAAGTAATAAACTAATAACACTTTTAATTTTTAAAAATCCCAACAGTCCATAGTGATATATACACATAAAAGTGGATGGGAGGAGAGACAGCTGTTCATCACAGAAGAATGCTTTTAATCATTTAGAGGAGATGGTGGGATTAGAAAATCAACATTTACCATTTTGCAACCAGCAACATGATAAAGCATGGGTCATCAATGATGCTAAAAACCTTAAATAAAAGTCTATCAGGGAGGGCCTCCCCGGTGGCGCAGCGGTTGAGCGCTGGGTTGCGAAGCTGCCCGCAGCCTCTACAGCGCTGGTTCGATCCCCGGCTGCTCCCCGGCCACCGGAGGAGGGTCCCACATGGCGCGCAGACCTCTCCTGCCACCCACTGCTTCCCTCAGCGGTGTACTTCAGTCCTTCTGCCTGTTCTGCTCCCCGTTCTGGCTCTGGTGAATTCTCTCCCCCTCCCGCGCTAATGACTGTACCCAATGCTTGTATAAATAAATAAATCTTAAAAAAAAAAAAAAAAGTCTATCAGGGAGCAGAATAGTCACATAACCTCTAAGTAAAAAACCATAATTACTTATTAATCACAAAGAAAACAATGACTTTAAAATGGAGAGATAAAACAGATAGCACCTATACGAAACTGAGGTCACCAAAGATGAGACAAATTAAGTGTGTGTCTTTCTGAGGAGCCACAATGATAAGTATATACCTATGTTCTTAGCAAAAATGTTTAATCTGAATCTAATCATTAGGAAACAACTAGGTAAATATAGATGTGGGCCTGGATCCAGGCCTCCCTGGTGGGACACAGCGCTATCAAGCTACTTCCAGCCACTAAAGTATGGAGTTTGATCCCTGGTGAGAGAGCTACCTGTCTTGCCCACTGCTCCCCTCAGCAGTGTTATTTCAGTAGATCCACCTGTTCCGCTTCCTACTTTGTCTCTGGTGAATCCTCTCAACATCCCGTACCTCTGGCCTATACCCCAGAAGTTCTCATATGCATAAATAAATCAATCTTTGGGGAAAAACAAACAAACCAACAAACCCTGGATCCTTCAAGAAATATTAATTCATGGAAGATTTTTTTTAAAGATGTATTTTTATTTATTTATGCATATAAGAACTGGGGGCTAGGCCAGAGGTGCGGTGGGGTGAGAGGATTCACCAGAGACAGAGTGGGGAGCAGAGTGGGGAGCAGAACAGGCGGATCTATTGAAATACACTGCTAAAGGAAGCAGCGAGTTGGACAGGAGAGGTCTGCTGCGCCATGTGGGTTAGCTCCCTGGCTGGGGATTGAACTCAGGCCAGGAATTGAAGTCATGAACTCGGGTTATACTGGTGACAGGGCTGAGACTTAACCCTTGGGCCACTTGGGAGGCCCCCCACACTTAAGTTTTTAAATGCAAACAATCTCATGTGCCAGTTATTCTCTCACCTGGACTAGGGCCTTCTAAAATTTCTTTTATCACCATCCATGGTTCTTCCAATAGGGGAATCACAGTTGGCCTGTACACTGTAAGTCCTGTTCAGGAGGAATATAATGAAATAAATGGTTGTTCAAAGTTTATTACCTGACTTCTACTTATCTGTGAGGACAGATATTTATAGAAAAACAAAAGTTCAAGGACATAAATCTAGTAAGAGAATTAGGTGTTGTCCTTTTCAGAACAAGGATAAAAATTTCATGCCACCAAGAGGTTACGTGCATAAAGATCTTGAGGGAAGGAGATCAAAGGGGCAGTAGGGAATGGGCTAGCACAGCACCAGGTGGTAGCCCATGAAGCTGTATATCAGCTTTTAATGACAATGACATTTCATTTAGAAACTTTTCATTTGGTAAAATAAAAGTACAATATTTCTTTCCCTGAATAGCACTTATCTCAAAACCCCAATCTTAGCAACGTACTTGAGAGCCTCAACTCATTTTAACAACTGAGGAAAGAAAGACACTTTGATGGGCATACTAGAAGGAGTTGACAGAAATGATTCTTACCCAGTGAAACCATGTTCCAGTAGTTCTGTAGTGTCACGGTCTTGTACAATTCCTTTTGTACAGGACGCATTAGCTCCCAGTCCTCCTGGGTAATGTCCACAGCCACATCTTTGAAAGTCATTGATTCCTAAAACATAAAACATAACAACTTGGTTCAAGAACTAGTGGGAGGGAGATAGTGATGACACTGGGTACATGTAGTGGAGAGAAATCACAGAATCTTAAGCTAGTAGGAATCTAAAGGTTAATTATAATTACGCACAACCTTCACCCAATGGATGGTAAGCATACCTCAACAGTCCTAAAGGGAAGTTTGAAAATAAAGTAGAATCTATCATTTTCAGTCGTCACTAGTACAAGCACTGGTGGCTCCACCTGAAAGAAGGGTTTTAAACACAGATGACAGTTGAATGGTTTTGCCTAAAGAATAAATTCAGGGCCTCCCTGATGGCGCAAGGGGTTGGGACGCAACCTATGGAGCTATCCACAGCCACTGAAGCACGAGTTTGATCCCCGGCTAGGGAGCTACCCACAAGGCGCAGCAGACCTCTCCTGGCTCACCTGCTGCTCCCCTCAGCAGTGTGTTTCAGTCAATCTGCTTGTTCTATTCCCACTCTGTCTCTGATGAATCCTCTCACCCCCAACACCTCTGGCCTGTACCCCAGTTCTTGTATGCATAAATAAATAAATCTTAAAAAAAAAAAAAAAGAATTCAATGTGGGGCCTCCCTGGTATCCTAGGGGTTAAACCTCAGTGCTGTCACCACTGCAGCCTGAGTTCCATCCCTGGCCAGGGAAATAACCCAAGTGGTGCAGCATACCTCTCCTGTCTTGTCTGCTGCTCCCCTCAGCAGTGCATTTCAGTAGATCTACCTGTTCTGACCCCCACTGTCTCTGGTGAATCCTTCCCTACCCCATCTCACCTACAACCCAGTTCTTTTGTGCATAAATAAAAAATAAATCTTTAAAAAAAAGGAAAAGAATAAATTCATTGTTTTGATATTTTTGTGTGCTCCGTGATGAATTACAGATTCCTTCCTTTCTTTTGAAGATAAAACTGTCACAAATAACCATTGTATTGAGCTGCTGTACTTTTAGATATAGTTCACAATCTGGTAAGATTAGTTTTCCTCTCTACTCTCCTTTTGTGGGGGGGAAAAACCCTAATTATCCTTATATGTTTTTCAAATAAACTGTTAAGTTTGTTTAAAAAATTCCATTAGTATTTTGAAATAACATTCAATTTACAATTTAGGGGAAACATTCAGTTTTACAATATTTATGTTTTTTTTTTCCATGGCCTGTCAAATGATATAGGACATGGGAAGTGCTGCAAAATTTATACTCTTAGTCTTAGATATATTAAATGTTGGGAGGGGGCCTCCCTGGTGGTGCAAGGGGTTAAGAGACAGTACTATGAGGCTGTCTGTAGCCACTGTAGCACAAGTTCAATCCCCGTCCAGGGAGGTGACCACATGGCGCAGCAGACCTCTCCTGTCTTGCCTGCTGCTCCCCTCAGCAGTGTATTTTGGTCAATGCACCTGTTCTGTTCTCCATTCTGTCTCTGGTGAATCTTCTCACCCCCCACATCTCTAGCCTGTACCCCTGTTATTGTATACATAAATAAATCTTAAAAAAAAAAGTAAATGAGGGGGAGGGAGGACAATGACAAGATTATAGAGAGGAATCTTTTATTTCATTTCATCATCTATATAAGTATTAAGTGTGAATTTGTATATTTCTATGCTATTTTCTGTAACAAATTTTCTATTATTGTTTCTAGTAGTTTTTCCTTTGATTTTTCTTAGTTTCCTCAGGTAAATATTCATATTAATTATAAATTATAATTTTACTCTGGTCACCAAGTTTAGATCATGTATGAAATCTTTATAGTAAATCTTTTTCCTAAACTGGTCTTACTTGCTGTTCCTTAAAATCTTAAAATGAGGCAAAATCAACAGTAGCAGCACAGATTTCATGGCCTTTAATTAACTGTTAATGAAAAAAGTATTAGCAACTACTGCTTATTTACTGTAATCCAGGTTAACCACATTCTCACAATCTTCACAATCTAGAGGTAAATCCCACTTATTAGAGTTGAAGAATTTAAGCTAACAATAATTATTTTGCCCCAAATCATAGATTCAGTGGCAGAACAAGGAACCAAACCTAGATCTATCTGGCTGGTGGAAGTTAATCCCCTAATCTCTATGTGATATTGCTGCCTTAAAGTCAAAGAATGAGGGAAGGCATATCAAGGGAAGGCAATTTATAGAAGTCCATTTTCTATACAGTGCTTTCACTTACTCTAATAGGCTAAAGTGACTTATAGAAAACAAGGCTTCAGTCCTTGACATTCAGAGACACAGAAGTTAGAGGGCCGGGATAGCAAACATCCTCACACATTAAGGAGGCTTATTTTAAAATCACAGAAGAATAAAATCACAGAAGAAACTAAGACTCACTTTGGTCACCAAGTCATTTAGCCACCCCATCTGGAAAGCATGTATTCCTTTGGGGTCTTCCTCTGGGATCTCTTGGGTAAGGGCAGAGTTCTGAGGAGCAGCTATGGAAGAGAAAGACACCATGATAGAGATTAGTTCTGTTTGCATAGCCTAGGAAAATATTTACATAATAGATGCCTGTAATTTCTTAAGGTGAGAAGTCAGCAGGAATCAAAACCAGCAAGCCTACTTCAAAGAATCAAAGGCAAGGATCAATGACTTATCATAAAACATCAGTGGAGGTTTCAAAAACAAGTCTACTCTGGGACTCTTAAGCATATGTCCCAAATTCACAATTTTCTATTAAATCCTTGTGTAAACTAAATTTTGTAAGTTGCCTTTTTAATTAATAAGGAAATATTCTCAGGATACTTTTCTATCTTTTTGGAAGTAGAATCCAAATTTACAAAGTTAACTGGCAGAATGGGTCAAACAACTGCAAGTAACCTTAAGGGCACACATGGAGATAATTTAGTTGTATCTCATCATTGTTTTATGACACAAGATAATATGTGTTTGGTCCCAAGCAACCTGGAAGGGGTACACCATGCAGGAGGGAGCTCATGTTAAAGTCTGCTCACTCACCCAGACTTTTATTCTCCCCAATTTCTTTAACAGGCCCTCTCTGATGTGCTGTTTGTCTTCTCTAACCACCCTGGATTTCTCCCCTTTCTGTTCTACATTTCTCACCTTCCTCTCCTAGAATCTGAGTCAAATCCTCCACCAGAGTCACCACTTCTTCGCTGCTCTTGGGGTACTGGGACTTCACCCAAGTCCTAACCTCCCCAGGAAGGATGGTCAGGAATTGCTCCAGCACCAACAGTTCCAGGATTTGTTCCTTTGAGTGAATCTCAGGTCTGAGCCACTTAAGGCAGAGCTCTCGGAGTTGATTCAATGCCTTTCGAGGACCAGCCAAGTCTGGGTATGAAAAATTCCTAAAATTCTGCCGACAGGTCTCAGTGTCACGCAAGAATCTTGAAGCAAGAATTTCCCTCTCAACATTGTAAGGTCCATTCTTTGCCTTGTCTGACTTCCACATGTGAAGGAGTTGGGAACGGGAAGAACTGGTCATCCTCTTACTTGGGGCAAACATTGTTACAGAGAGTAATGTGAATCTGGTTATATCCGTTGTTTCTCCAGTAGTTAGCCAACTGCTTGAAGTCTCATGCTAAAGCCACTAAGACAATATATATCCTGGGCTGCTGCAGTCAGGAGCAATAGAGTCAAAGTTGTTAGGAGCCTTAAGGCGTTACAAATTCTGAGTCCAGAACTTGCAAGTAGGCTGAATCCCTGAAACACAAGAGTGAACCACAAGGTCAAGAATTCCTGGTGCTCTCTGCTACACATCTACATAACTTGGTGTTGTCTCCCCTATACCTTTGACTTGTAAGATTAATGCAATAATTTGAAGTGGGGAATAAAGGGGTTAAGGACTTCTATAAAAAAGGTGGCTATAGAAGCAAAGACTGGTATCATGATTAAAATAACAAATCAAACTTCTAACTTGTGGAGACAGAATTATACATTTTTACAGGATAAAATGTTTCAATACTTTAGTCACTGACCTTACAGAAGTTGTAACTGACTAACCCAGGTCTCAATAACAACATAGCAAATTACTTAAAACAAAACTGGGAGGAAAACGTCTTCTTAATAAAGTGCTCCAGGTTCCCACGGGAACTGTCAGGGGAAAAAGGGCTAGCTGTTTTACCTGCTTTGCATATTAATACCAGCCTATTCTAGCGTTTCACTATTCCGAGGGCTGAGGAGACAAGCTGGTAATACTGGAAAGAAGTGGGCAGGGGAAGTTGGTGTGATTTGAAGCCCTTTAAATGCTTCTCCAAGAGAAAATTTCTTATCAACACATTTGAATCCAGGGTTCACGAAGTAAAGCCCAGAACAGGCCAAACCTAGAGAACTAACAACACGCATCAGGGGCTCCAGCTCCGCGCCCTCCTCAACCACAGGCGAGTCACCAAAGTCAAATCTTTACAAGGCCCTGCGGAGGAGATGCTCGGGCCTCCCCTCTCAGGCGGGGGCTCTGGCAGCGGGAGAGCCCTACCCGGCGGTGCGCGGCGCTGGGCTCGCTCTACTGCACTTCCACCCGGGGTCTGCCTCCCCTCAGGCCGTGTGGACCGGCGGGGTTCCGGCCCCGGCCACGCGGATACGCGCCCCCGGCGCCCGCGACATAATTACCTGTCGCGGGGACCCGCGGACGCGCAGCCGGAGCGGCCCGACAGGCCCCGGGCAACAATGGCGGCGGGGGCGCGGGCGCCTGCGTGGCGGGCTCAGTCCCGCGCTGCAGAGGGGGTCCCGGCTCCGCCACGGCCCTGTTCTGGACAGCACGATGTATGTCGGGCGGGAGCCCCACGTCCCAGCTAGGACCTGAGTAGCCCGGCCTGGACCCCACCGCGCCTCAGCTTCACCGCGACCTCGCCTTGGCGGCACTGCGCATGTGCGCGGGGAGAACGCTGCGCGCCGCTGAGCCAATCGGAAGCCGAGCCTGGACCCTCCCCCGCCCAAACCTTGCTCCGAGGACCTGTCTCCCTGGCAACCTCCTCCACCCATCGCTAGGACTTGCTGGTTATCTAGCAAGATTCTGAAGGGAACTTTAAAGTTCACCTGGTCAGAAGCGCCTCTGGCATGACCTGGAGGCTGGGAAGATACCAGAATCTGGGGGAAGGAGAGGTGGATGCGAGTGCGGTTGAAGCCCCTTGCTCATTACCTAGCGAAAACCCAGTGCCAGAATTGCTGGAAGATGAGCAGAGATTTGACACTAAGGCAGAATGATTCAAAGCACTGGTTTGGGCTTTACTGTGCATAAAAATTCACTGTTAAAGGTTCTGAGTTCCTCCTCAGGAATCTGATTCTGAGACACTCAGATTGGTAAAAAAACAAAAACAAAAACAAAAACAAAGAAAAACCCAACAGCATGTCGTTTGTAAGAGATAGAAAGCAAAAATATATAAAACTCTTGAAAACATGAACTAGAAAAACATATTCCTGGTCTCCTGTTATCTACTGTTCTGTTGGAAAACCACCCTAAATCTTACTGGTTTTAAGAATAACCATTTTAGGGCCTCCCCGGTGGCGCAGCAGTTGAGCGCTGGGTTGCGAGGCTGCCCGCAGCCTCTGCAGCCCCTGGCTCGATCCCCGGCTTCTCCCGGCCAACGGAGGAGGGTCTCACATGGCACGCAGACCTCACCTGCCGCCCACTGCTCCCCTCAGCAGTGTGCTTTGGTCCTTCTGCCTGCTCTGCTCCCTGCTCTGGCTTTGGTGAGTTCTCTCGCCCTCCCGCGCTTCTGACTGTACCCAGTGCTTGTATAAATAAATAAATATATTTTAAAAAAAAGTATCTAAGTGGAAAAAGTAAGTTCTGAGTTTCAGACAACTAATTTGCAAATAAATTAAAAAAAAGAATAACCATTTTATTATGCTCATGAATTCTGTGCAAAAGCAAACAAACAACAACAAAAACTCTTTTTGTGTGCATGTTCTACAGGTTCTGCTCCTCTGGTTGGACACTGATGGACACAGATAGTAATTCAAATATCTGGAGAAGTGGAATTGTAAATATCACAGGCGGAAAATCAAAAATGTTAATCATTCATAGATGGAAAAACTGAGAGAAAAGACATCTCCATCATAAATGATTTCCCTAACAATGAGGTCCCAAGACACCAAGCAGTGACTGATCTACCTGCAGGAGAAAAATACAAATCCATAAGCTGTGCCAACTGAAGCTGGAAACTTGACTACACTGAGGGGCACACTGCCCTGGGGCGCAAAGCTCCCTATTTACTGTTGGGGAGCCTGTTCCTCCTATTGACAGTGAGTTTGGCTGCTGATAGCTTACAACTAATGTCTCTCTGGGAACTTTCAGCTCCCTCTTGTAGGTGTCACCTCCTGCTCCCCAGGAGCAGTCCACATGCAGTGAGCTCTTGGTGCAGAGCTTTTTCGATCTTGTCACTTTGCCTCAACTTGCAGCTTTTCTAAAGGGACTGTCTGTCTTGAATTCCCTGTGAGATCAAATGAGTCCTCTGTGGCAATCACACAGGATTTCAAGTTTTTCCTCTGCCCAGCCCTCTCCTCATTTCACTCTTTTGCAGATATTTTTCTAGAGGACACTACCCGGTAACATCTATGAATGCAATTTTCCATTTCAGAATGTTCTTCCAGGGAATCTGCCCCACCAGCAGTGGTACAAGGTCAGCAGATCCCAAGTGGGATATTGGAGCTGGATCACCTGCCTGTTTGCTGGTAATGAGAACCCTATCACTTGTAATTGGCAGAGCATTGACAGTACATAGCAAGCTATAGCAGCATAATCATGAAAATTGTCACTGCTGAACAGAATGGGTCATTGATAGAAGAGAGGCTGCCTGCAGGTGCTATCACTCAGGTCTTTATGAGGTTGGGGGAAGTAGCAATTTTAAGGATTATGAATTGAATGAGTATTGGAGATATCGACACAGAAAGGCTAAGGTTGATTAATCACCAATTAGGAGCCTCCCTGGTAGCTCAAGGGGTTAAGTCTCAGCACTATGAAGCTCTCTGCAGCCACTGCAGCACGAGTTCTATTCCCCATCAGGCAGCTAACCCCATGGCACAGCAGACCTCTCCTGTCCTACTGGCTGCTCCCCTCAGCAGTGTATTTCGGTAGATCCACCTGTTCTGCTCCCTACTCTGTCTCTGGTGAATCCTCTCACCCCCCACATCTCTGGCCTGCATCCCAGCTCTGTGTACATAAATAAATCTTTTTAAAAATGACATTTAATGTGGGATGTGTGTGACTGATAGATAATTCTGTCCCTCCAAATGTGAAACTATGAAAAGAATACAGGATCATCTAATATTTCAACTGAGAGAATAGCTTGAATCTAATGAGTGTTGGATTACACTGATTGATTTTTGTATGTTGAACCATCCATGTGGCCCTGGGATGAATTCCACTTGATTGTGGTATATTATCCCTTTGATACATTAGGGAGATTGGCCTGTAATTTTCTTTTTTTGTTGTGTCTTTGTTTAGTTTTGGTATTAGTATAATGTTGGCTTTGTAGAATGTATTTGGTAGTATTCTTTCCTTCTCAATTTTTTGAAAGAGTTTGTGTAGGATAGGCACTAATTCACTGCTGAACATTTGGTAGAATTTGTTTGTGAAGCCATCTGGACCTGGGCTTTTGTTTTTGGGGAGTACTTTGATTACTGCCTCAATTTCGCTGTTTGTAATTGGTGTGTTTAGGTGTTCTATTTCTTCTTTGTCCAGCTTTGGATGATTATATAGTTCTAGGAATTTGCCCATCTCTCCTAGGTTGTTGAATTTATTTGCATATAAGTGTTCATTGAATCTAATGAGATAATACTAGAAAATTGTAGAATGTCATTTTAAAAAATAAGTGTAGGGAATCTGGATACTAAGAAAATGCCAATGTTATAAACTGCAAAAAAAAAATGCTATGAGACTATTCTATATTTTATTTATTTATTTATTCATTCATTTATACAAGCACTGGGTACAGTCAGAAGCGCGGGAGGGTGAGAGAATTCACCAGAGCCAGAGCAGGGAGCAGAGCAGGCAGAAGGACCGAAGTACACTGCTGAGGGGAGCAGCAGGCGGCAGGAGAGGTCTGCGCACCATGTGGGGCAGGAGAGGTCTGCGCACCATGTGGGACCCTCCTCCGGAGGCCGGGGAGCAGCCGGGGATCGAACCGGCGCTAAAGAGGCTGCGGGCAGCTTCGCAACCCAGTGCTCAACTGCTGCGCCACCGGGGAGGCCCAAGACTATTCTATATTAAAGGAAGATAAAGATGCTTTAAGTGAATGGCATTACTGACTATAGATTAAAACCTATAATTAATTGATGGGTATGTAAAGATATTTGTATCATTTGAAAAATTGTGTGATTTTGGAAGAATGATGAAAACTAGGGCCTTCCTGGTAGCTCAAGGTGTTAAGATGCAGCACTATGAAGCTAGCTGCAGCCACTGCAGCATGAGTTCGATCCCCGGCTGGCCAGTGATCCATATGGCACATCAGACCTCTCCTGTCTCTCCTGCTGCTCCCCTCAGCAGTGTATTTCAGTCAATCTGCCAGTTCTGTTCCCCACTCTGTCTCTGGTGAATCCTCTCATGCCCCACCACTTCTGGCCTGTACCCCAGTTCTTGTATGCATAAATAAATAAATCTTAGCTTTGCACTGATATTATAGTTACAGAAATTGATACAGTGCAGTGGTTATGTAAGAGTATCTCAGTTCTTATGAAAAACCCTCTGTAGTATTTAGGGGTAAATGGTCATAACATATATAACTGAACTTTGTCATCACTGACTGTGTGCTTGGAGACTTTATGTGATGAAATGGGATGGAGGCTTCAGGAGAAAGAGATGCAGCACCAGCACCCAAGGCCACCTCCCAGAAGGGAGGGAGAGAGTAGATTGGTACACAAATTATTCCTCAGCCTGTGCTGAGGCATGAGGTAAGGAGTCTGATTCAATCAGTGCATTTCCCTCCATGCCATGGCTTGAGACAATTAGTCCCATTTATGGAGAAGGAAATGGAAATGCACAGATAATGTGACTCAGCCCTGATCACAGATGAGCAGGGGCAAAGCCTGACCTTGAGCTCTGGGGGTCTACTTCCAAGCATAACCCTGTACAGGCAGTATAGCCTTGGAAACTTTTTTCACCTGGTTAATATGTCTGTAGTTGGAAAGGAAAGTATATTTCCCCCTTATCCAGAGTTATGACTCCAGTGGATGCCTGAAAAAGTGAATAGTACTGATGTTGTTTTGAACAAGTGTGGGATTCAGAGAACGAGGTCCTTGGGTTACTTCTGAGAAGTTTTAGCAGAGTTCTCTTTTCAGTGGTGGAAGATGTTTGCTCAGACACAGGAAGGTGAAGGTTACATTTTAAAAGGACAGATTTATTAGGAAAAGGAGAAAGAAAAAGAGGCACCTGTATAGTCACAAGTGCGCAGGAGAGCGGTATTATGCCAGTGCAGAAATAGTACTGATGTAGTGTTCTTTTTGAGAAGGGTTCAATTCATTCTGTTGGGGTAAAGGATGTCCTGAACAAACTCCACAAATAGGTTTTATGGACCCCCACCCCCACCCCGACCAAAGAGTTCCAAGACACCAATGACTACAAACCCCATAATGTCATCATCACTGAAGGGAGGATAGCTGGAGCCTGAGGGTGGAGTAAAGCAACCAGGTTTTGACTTGTGGGCCTTGGGGGACCTTGGTTTTTCGCCAGCTTTCTGCGTACTACTGGGGTTCCAGCTCAGCGGAACTGGTAGGACACATTCACCAGTTTATCTCTGTCTTCTTTCTCCTTGAGTTATTCCTTTCTTCATTTCCTCCCATTAAAAAAAAATAAACCCTTTATTAAGCTTTTTGTTTATGCCTGCAGTTGAGTTTTATTTAAGTCCCTTTTAAGTGCACTGGTGAGGTCCCACAGTCAGGCCAACCCATTTCACTTTGGGGTTGCCCTGTAGCAGTACCTTTGTGGAATTGTTATCTATTGTTAAGTTAATTACTTTTAGGGTGTGACTAGGTTGATTCATTTGGGCCGGTGATCTTCTACAATGGCCCTCCATCTCCATAGCCCCACTTTGGGTTGCACTTCCAGATCCTTTCTATAGCAGCCTGATACTTGATATAGCAGTTGGTGCCTAAGGATTTTTCATTTCTATAGCTGGTTTAATGACTATCAATCATTTCTTCACCTACCATATTTCTGGCCTTGTGATACCTTCATCCTAAATTTCCTACTCTTAGCCTCCATCAAAATCATGTAAAGTGAAACAGTGGATTAGAGGGGAATACTGTAAATTAATTGCACTAATTAGAAGAATGGTCAGCTCTCTCACACCATAGCCAAAAAAAAAAAAAAAAATTCAAAATGGATTAAAGACATGGAATGTAAGACCTGAAATCATAAAATACATAGAAGACGACACAGGCAGTTTACAACACTGACCTTGGGGGTATCTCTGGGAGATACTCAGAATAAATTAAATCATTAATTTACTACATAAATTAAGACGATTCTGCACAGCAAGAGAAACTATCAGCAATATGGAAAGATATCCTACTTCCTGGGGACCACCCTGTTACATACTGACTGGGAGAAAATATTCATACAGCATGCATCTGGCAAAGGGTTACTATTCAAGATATAAAGCGTTCACAATTGAACAACAAAAACCCCAAATAACACATTACATGTTAAGGAAGTAGAAAAAGAATTAAACCCAAAGTAAAAAATATACACAGTAGGGCCTCCCTGGTGGCACAAGGGGTTAAGTCGCAGCACTGTGAAGCTATCGCCAGCCACTGCAGCATGTGTTTGATACTGAAACAGGGCAAGCTAGGGAGGGACCTCTGAAGAATTCAGGAAGGCTTCAGAGATAAGGACGAGCAAGGAAATGAAACCAATTCCACTGGGAAAAACAAACATCCTAGCACCACAGATAATCTTGTTAAGGATGGTCCTGGTTTTCTTCAGATGTAAAGATGCTCACCGGGAGGGCTAAACCATAAAGCTAAAGGTGTAACAAATGGGGAAAGACAAACCTGTTAGGTAAGGAATGTGAAGATCTCTCACTCAGTAGCAAATTAAGTGAGACAGCCGAAAACTGACCAATCACAAAGAGACTGGTGGAGCTTTAGAATAATGAGGGGAAAAAGGTATATATTCCCTGAGACACAATTCCACTTTGGCTTCCTTGCCCCTCCCAGGCCTGGTTCCCTGGCCTGGGAGTCCCACTTTATTTCTGCTCTTTTTCTCCTCAATAAACTTTTTCTTCTTCTAAACAAACCTGTGCTTCTCGCTTGCTTGCCTGAGCATCTGCGAAGTTCCTGCTGCGGCTTCGTGAGACACCAACCCGTGGCGGGTCTAGCGGCTGGGGCTCAGCGCTGCCCTGCAGCCTGAAATCCGATCCTGGCTGGGAGACTAGGCCTGACAATTCCGGCATCAATACCAGCCAGGGAGCTGACCCACATGGTGCAGCAGACCTCTCCTGTCTGGCCCACTGCTCCCCTCAGCAGTGTATTTCAGTAGATCTGACTGTTCTGCTGCCTGCTCTGTCTCTGGTGAATCCTCACACACACACCCCACCTCTGGCCTGCACCCCAGCTCTTGTATGCATAAATAAATGAAATAAATCTTAAAAAAATACACCATAAAGGCTACAGTGGAGATCAATGAAATAGGGACTAGGAAAATAATAGAATCCACAAACTCAAACCTTTGAAAAGATCAACAAAATTGACAAAACTTTAACTTGAATGACAAAAAAAAGCAGAGACTCAAAACAAAATTAGAATCGAAAGTATACTTTACACAAAGAAAAGTTATTATAAGAGGATACTGTGGAAAACGTACACGCACAAATTAATCTGTAACAGATGAAAAGACAGATTCAATTTCAGTGATTTAGTAGGAGGCCGGTAGGGCGCGCACAAACACCACCGCAGTGAGCGCAAAACTCCCTGCGCAGCACCTCCATGGCCACGAGAGGGCGCGCGCCAAACCCTCCCTATCCGCGTAGAGCGCAAGCGTTTGCTGGGAGGCGAAAGCTTTGTGTTCTCCTCCCCCGCCAAGAAGGGGGGGGTCTGTCCCCGCTTCTCCAGGCATGTTTTTCTTAAATAGCAGCAGCTGGAGCTTTCCTTTTCCGGCATGCTCTTTGTGTTTAGTCTTTGCTTTTGCATGTATTGTTTTATCAAGACATTTCACAATAACCATTCATTGAGGCATTTGAAAATGATAATCATAATGTGAATAGCTTTTTTTTTTTTAGATTTGTGATTGTCAAAGGCAAAGAAAGAAGAAACAGGCAATGTTGAAAGGAATGGACAAAAAGCCTGCTCCTTCCCTCCCGTCGGATGTTAGTCCAGAGTGAACGGAAACCGGCGCTCCCAGGGACCTGCTTTTATTAAACTGTCATTTTCCCTATATCGTTAAAGTAGTTGAAAACATTAAAGAATTACGAAGTATAGGTGTGAAAAATGACATTATTTTCAGTCTTAAGTTTATACCAATAAAAAAAAGCTATTTTAAATTTACTTTCCTGGTCCTAATGATTATTTTGAAACTAGAGTTCTTTGTTTATCTCATTTTCAGTCGAGATAACGGACAGGCCTGATATTTTCTCATGATCCAGTGACAACCTTAACTGTTCATTGATTTCAGCTTTTGAAATCTCTTTAGCAGGACCCCATTGTGACTGGTGTTAGAAAAATTATATATCAAATTTATTTCCAAATGAGAGAAAGAACAGCAAAACTTGTTAATCAGCTTCTGGATATTAAATGTTAGCTTTAAAATTTTTAAAAATACTTTAACTCAAACTGTAGAGTAAAAATAAGTTTAAAGCATGAATAATATATATTCATTAAATGTTTGCAAACAGTGTTTTCTTAAGCAGTTACAATACATTTTAATTCTTTAAAAAATTCAAATAGGAGGACCCTGGTCGCCTAGGGGTTAATTCTCAGGGCTGTGAGCCTCTACTGCCTGAGTTCAATACCTGGCCAGAGAGTTAACCCACATGTGATGCAGCAGACCTCTCCTGTGTGCCCTGCTGCTCCTCTCAGCAGTGTATTTCAGTAAATCTGACTGTTCTGCTCCCCACTCTATCTCTGGTAGGTCCTCTCATTACCTGCACATTTGGCCTACACCCTGGTTCTTCCATGTAAAAAAAAAAAAGAAAGAAAGAAAGAAAGAAATCCAAATGACCAATTTGAATTTTATGAGAAAACCTATACTTAGTATAACATGAAAGATGCTCACATGATATTTTAGCCCCAACTTTCACAAACTATTGGAAATTATGAGACACACGGTGGCTCAAATTTTCACTTATGTCAGGGAAAACTAGACTGCCAGTTTCAAGTGAGTAATAAATCACATATAATATTACAGAAAATGTTACAGGGCAGGGAGAGAGGTACCCTGGGATCCCCAAACCTGCCTGCTCTGGAAGGGTTTTGGCATCCTTCACATAAAGACAAAACATCTTCCAGTGTGTAAGCCCTTCAATAGGAAGTAACTTTAACTAGCATGCAAAAAGGAAAGGGAAGAAAAAGAGAAAGAATATATGCTTTCCAAATCAAGCACCCCAAATTACCCATTCCCTAGTTGTTAAGTGCCCAGGCAAATAGGGTTGGCTTAAAGTGGGGCCACTGTGCCCTGAAAGCTTGCCACAATTCTAAGGTACTACTTGGTAGAGAACCATAGGAAAGGGGCAGAAGGGGCCAGGCAAGTCTGGAAGGAAAAGAGCAAAAGCAAAATACAAGTCAAGATAAAGGCTGCCATTGTCAGCCTCCCCAAGGGCTTCTCACTCACATCTCTGTCTCTTTCAAGTGTCTCCTTCCATGTCCCCCCAGTCCCTGGTAAAAGTCCAAGGCTGGGAAGCAAGTGCAGCTTCTTCACAGGTCTCTCTGCTCCATGAGCCCCCTCCAGGACCTCTTCTTGCTGCCCGCTTCCTTCTCCCAGTCTCTCTCCAGCTGCTTCTCCCCACCCAGCTCCACCCTTCCTGAGGGTGGGGCAGGGAACCTGGAACCACCCCTCTCCCCGGAAACTACCTTGTTAACAAAAAGCCCCCTTTTGCCTTTCAAATGCAGAACTAATTCAGTCGATTGCCTTTTCCAGTGAGAGCATCAACTCACTATCAAGCACCATTAGGGAAAAACCAGACATCAGTATGAGAATTCCTGTTGTGACACAGACATGTAATACTTGCAGGCAGATCATTTTTATTATTCTTAGATATTTGAGGGTGGCCCGCTGATAAATTCATTAATGTGGTTAGCATGATGAAAATGGCACCACTATTTGAGTTTATCTCTTTAAGCTTATTTAAGTCACTGATTTGCAAACATTTTCCCACCTCTGGAGACCCCAGAGAGCAGACCCACCCATATTCAGACTTCCTTGACCTATACTTACCAAATTTTTCTTTGCTCTGGCAGGACCTTTGTGACTTTATAAGATCCTGCTAGGTCTGCTCTTGCTGGCCTCTAGCCTCACCACCCTCAGCCCCATTCGGCGCCTTATGCTCCAGTCTCCCGATCTTTTCAAGATCTTCTCATTTAAATCCTCTCCTTTTCTTGTACCCCTTTACCTGGTTGCCTACTTCAGGTCTTAGCTCCAAGTCACTAAGAAATATTTATGGAGGGGGCCCACCTGGTGGCACAGGGGTTAATACCTTAGCGCTATCAAGCTATTGCCAGCCACTGCAGCCTCAGCTGAGTTAGATCCCCAGCCAGGAAGCTAAACCATGTGGCACAGCAAACCTCTCCTGTCTCACCCACTGCTCTCATCAGGGGTGTATTTCAGCGGATCTGCCTGTTCTGCTTCCCACTCTGTCTCTGGTGAATCCTCTTGCCCCCCACACCTCTGGCCTACACCCCATTTCTTGTATGCATGAATAAAATATTTATGGAGTGCTGCTGATGGCAGTTAAGAGCAGAAAATTTGCCAAGTAGGCACCACAAGACCAGAAACCTGGCTCTTTCAAAGCTGGGGGCAGGAGGTAGAAGTGATTAACCAGCTATAGAAAGTAAAAATCCTTAGGTGCCAAGCTCTAGATCAAGAGACACAGACCTAATCAGGTGTCAGGCTGCTGTAGAGTCACAGGGCACAGACCCGAGCAAATGTCAGATTGTCTTGGGGCCGAGACCCAAAGGTGAGGATATAGAGATTGAGGGCCATTGTAGAATCTCTGGTCCTTTCCAAATTCTACATAGTTATTCAAAATCAACAAAAACAAACCACTCCACAAAGGAGTGAGCCCCTCCCAGAGAGAAGACTGTATCAGTGCAGCCTCTGCATTGGCATGAGGCAGCAGTCCTTCTGCCCACCTATGCCTATGCAGGAGCTGCTTGTTGCCAACTCTCTCCCTCTGCAGGGCAGCAGCCTCCTGCCTGCCCATGACCTGTACCATGTGCTTCTCTTCCCTGACCTCCTCACCAGAGGCAGCTCTCCTCCCTAGGCTGCCAGCTTTTGACTATGCAGGCCTCACTTTCAGCAAACCTGTCCCTTCTGCGGGCAGCCCTTTCTGCCCTTTCTGCCCACTTGTGTATATGCAAGTGTTCTTTATTCTTCTCTCCCCTCTATAATAAACCTGCTCTTTGGACATAACTAATGTCTTGGTCTTGTGGAGAAACTCGCTGTGTGCCACAGATAGGGGAGCTCTAGTGAAACTGTTGCAGAAATAAATTCTAGCCTTTTACCCAGGCAAGGGAAGAACAAGCGGTACTTCAGGAATGGTGAGGTCATTCCTTTATCACTCATGCATGAGGTCTCAGACCTGGGCAGTCCCGTAAGATCTGAGCACCTGTCTAGAGACAAAGGGTTTCTTTTATACACAACCGTCTTATATTGATAACATTGGTTAGTGAGCACAACTATTTGCTGCACAACTCCTAGACAAAGGGGGAAAGATGGATATTCGGGGATGTCCTTCGAGAGATAAATCAACTTGGCCGGCTGTCTGACCTTGTAACCTCTGTTTAGGGCCTCCCCTGGTGGTGCAGGCGGTTGAACTCAGCACTGTGAAGCTGTCCGCAGCCTCTGCAGTGCAGGTTCGATCCCTGGGCTGCCAGCAAGGGTCCCACATGGCCTGGCAGACCTCTCTTGTCTCTCCTGCTGCTCCCCTCCCTGCAGTGTGTTTCGTTGGTCTGCCTATTCTGTTCCCTGCTCTGTCTCTGGTGAGTCCTCTCATCCTCCCGCAAAAAATTAGATGTCACGCTCTCTAAGGAAATGTCTATTAAGTAAGCAAACTTGTTATTTACAATTGCATTGGATTATTTACTGTACCAGGCCTAAGACCCTTTAGCAGAAAAGATTAATTTGCTTAGCAATTCCTTTTCAAAACTTTCCCCAGAGTTAACCCAAGGACCCCACTCTTCGAATCCAACGTCTCCAAAACTGAGTTCACTACCACTTTGCTAGGGATTAGCCTTATAGAACAAAACATGAAGGGTCTCAAGCTCTCCTGACAGACTGGGTGGAAGCAGACCACCACCAATGCCCACACGATTAAACAAGGTCAAGTTGGCTAGCCTGACCGCTCTGAATAAAGCCAAAGAGGCTGTGCCAATGAACCACTTGGGCATGGGAAGACTCTCCAAGAGAACAGAGGGCGCTGAGCCCCAGACCAGGAGCAGGCTCCAGCATGAGAAGGGCCCCTTCCTCAGGACAGCTCCTCTGAAGCCCCCACTCCAGATAGGTGTCCCTGCTGGTTTGTGAATCCACGTTGTAAGAGCCACTTAACTAGTCTCCCTGCTGTCCTGTCTGCCCTATGGTAACAGGGCGATGCCCAGGAAAAGGGGAGGTTCCTGCCCCACCCGAAGGAGGATGGAGCTGAGCAGCGAGAAGAAGCTGGAGAGGAGACTGGAGAAGGGAGGAAGCAGGATGGAGAGCACGGAGACACATGGAGGAGGCACATGGAGCAGAGAGACATATGAAGAAACTGCGCTTGCCTTTTGGTCGTGGACTGGTTGACACAGATGTGGGTGAGAGACTTGTGGGGGAGGTTATCAATGGCAGCTTTTATCTTGATTTTGATATTGCTCTTTTCCTCCTAGACTAGTCTGGTTGTTTCTAATCCTTTTCTGTGGGTCCCCACGGGAAGGTGCTTTAGACTTAGGGCAGGATCTCAGGTCTTGCTCTAGGCCAATCCTGTTTGGGGGGACTTTTACCCACAAGGGGAAGGGTAACTTTGGGTGCCTGATTTAAAAACTATATTCTTTGCCTTTCCTGAATTGTTCAATAATTGTAGTAAAGTTCCTTCCCATTAAAGGCCTTGTATCTTTTGTCTTGATGCGCTGGATGGCAGAACCTATTTAGAGCAGGCAGATTTGGGGGTTCTGGGATGCCCCTCTCCTTGCCCCGTAACACTACAATTTCACAGCTGCAGACTTAAAGTTCTAAATGTGTATCTGAGGGTGGACACCTCATCTGTGATTCTGCCTGGCGGGTATTTCCCTCAGCACTTCCTCAGAGGTTTTACCTGACCACTCCCCTTTAAAGAGCCCTGAGGACTCCAGTCCCTGCCAAACAGAAGTAGGTGCAGACAACTGACTCTTTATTTTCCTTCTTGTTCTTATTTTTATTTTATTTTTTTACATTATAAAGGACAGCTTATTAGGAAAAGGAGAAAGAAAAAGAGAGGCACCTGCCTAGTCACAGGTGGTCTGGAGAGCTGCCGGATTTTCTTTTTGTAATGCAAGTGCCTGACTTAAGCTTTGATGTCCAGGAATCCAGTTCAAAGAGGGTTAGTGCAGATAAACACGTTGCCAGCCACGCGACTAGGCAAAGAGCTAGGCTGCCTCCCCACAGAGGTTCCTTTGTCTCGTAGATTTTGGTTGATTTAATTAACTGATCGGTTGGTGCTACTAGGTTTTTTCCTTGCCCTCCTTCCCTCCCCTTGCGCTCCCTTCTTTTTTTTTTTTTTGTGGGACCCTCGCTGGTGGCTGGGGATCGAACTGGCGCTGCAGAGGCTGCGGGCAGCCTCGCAACCCAGGGGAGGTCCCCCTTCTTCTTTCTTTACCTGCACTCTAAACCCCCCATCTTATGTTTTAAATCATCACTGTAACGCAACCAACCCATTCCGGGTAGGTTTATTAACGGTTCTAGCAGCCACATGCTCTTCGCCCTTGTTTGTAGTCGCTATACTCCTCCGTACTCTCCACTGAACTCCTCCACCCTCGACACCGCACCACCACCACACTGCACTCTGCTGTGCCACCCTTATAAACCAGTCTCTTAGCCTAGGTGTACCCACCTACGCATGCCCACACCCTACTCCAGGTGCCCGCCATCAGGCATGCATTAGGACCATCTATCCTAATGGCGGGAGGGCAGAAAAGCCTCATACCTTTTACCTACCCTACAATCACTCACACCCCCACCCACAGGTCCAGTCCCCAAACTCGACCCCAATAGCGCAAGATCCCAGGCCCATGCCCTCTCTACTGGAAACCCTACTGTCGCCCAAATGTGTTGGGTAATTTCCAGATCTCATAGGTAATAGGCCTCATTTTTTTTTTTTTTTCAAAGTTCACTGGTTTTTACTGATGAGCAAAAACTGGTCCAGCTGCAGCAAGGGTTAGCAGTAGCTTGACATCACCTGTTTTAATTTCTTCTGCTTCCACTACCTGAAGCAGGCTCGTTTGTGGGTCTGTTGGGTTATACCCTCTGCTCCCCATCCCACACATCAGGGGATCCTGCTCACTATGTGGCCCCAGGGAGCCATGCCCAGAGGGGCACCTGGCTGGTTGAAAATACAGGTGCAGGAGCATGAATACAGGCTGAGACCTTGCAGGGTAAAAGGAATTGATCAGGCTTCTTATGCCACTTATATCTGTGGCTATCACCTGTGACCTTGATCGTATTAAAGCAGAAGGCACATGGGTGTGGGGCACACGTGCCTGATTGTGAACGCCAGAGCAATGGGTGCGTGAATGCATGTGTAGTGTCTACAACTGTGCCTAGGAAAT